AACATCCTCTGCAATTTCCCAAATAGTGATTCCACGATTTTCCAAAACCATTTTCTTCAGTGTTTCGATGTTTTCTTCGCTTGTTGGCGTGGTTGCAACTCCAGGACGCTCATAGTCATCAACATCTTCTCGGCCTTCTATAAAGAGTTTGTACAACGTATGAACACTTTTTTGAAACAAAGCAGATCTCCGAATGCCATAGTCAAAATTTTAATTGGGTTGGAGCTTTTTATTTAATTTTTAACGCAAGATTTAATACAGATTCTTTGATACAATTTTATCAAAAGTAAGAAATCGAAGAACACATAAAACGTGACTAACCTTCTGAGTTGCCAAAAACAAACCACTAATTATAAATGTTTGATAATTTCAATAGGTGAGAAACGTATGCGTACCAACATAACGAAAAAAAATTTGGATAGGATTTAAATTAGAAAATAATTAGAAATAATTAGAAAATAAATTCCTAATCGAATGTGCAGAGTCCGCGAAAATTTAAATTTTTCCTTTTCTTTCGAACAGATGTCGTGTATTGGTCTCATGAAACTTATTTGTTTTATGATTGAACATTTGGCACCTACAAAAACTTCATCTACTCGGCTGGGTAATTTTTGAGTTATTGAGTAGTGGAAAATGTGAATCGGTAGTCTTAATACTTTTTCATAGTTTACGAAGGATTTCAGATCGGAAATTTTGTTTCCGAGAAATTCGTTTATAACGGCTATTTTGGTTATTTGAAAGTGAGAAAGTGATAAAGGTATTTTCATTGAATTAGTAAAAGAACATAAAAATCATTCATTTTGTGATTGTTTATGAAAACGGAACTTATTTCCCGACTATGTATTCTGGGTTTCCTTGCAGGAATCCCAAGTTTATTCAGGAAAAACTCCGATTAGCTAGTCGACGAACCGGAAATTTCCGTTTTACTCCCACACGACAATACTCCATAACTAAGAATTCCCACCGATATTTACGCTAACAAAATTTAAAGTAATTATTAGTCCAATTCCTTCTAATTATCGCATAAATTCAATTTATCGTGAAATTGCAGTTTCCTCCGCTTAATGGATCTATTAGTTTTGGTGTGTGGGATCGTACGAATTGACAAACGCTCAATGATACTTTGGTTAATTGTTCATGATCATGCCGCGCCGTAGTTTATTTGCGGAAATGTTAGTTTATCGTTGCCGTTACTCCCGACACGCTATCGCCGTTTACTTTTCCTTCTGGACGGAGACGGATCACGCTATTCTCAAAATAGAAACGCCGTTGGGCGAAATCGAACGGCTAAGGTTTTACAAATAGGTTAGAAAAACACACGTTTCGATCTCCCGATAGAAAGTACCTATATTACACAATGGTTTCAAGCTGTACTGAATAAACAATTATGTTAATGTTTAATATAGTTTTTCAAAGAATTATTTTCGTATTAAATTAAATTAAACTCTTGGCTTAATGTTTCACGATTATATTTAACAATATGAATTTGTCAACATATTGTTTCGAGCGTGAGCTCATTTTCAAGACTGACAAAATTGTTAAATTGTCACGACTGACAAATTCATATTGTTAAATATAGTTTTAAGCCAAGTGAAACATTAGGCCAAGAGTTTAATTTAATTTAATAAGTCTTGAAAATGAGCTCACGCTCGAAACATGTTGACAAATTCATATTGTTAAATATAATCGTGAAACATTAAGCCAAGAGTTTAATTTAATTTAATATTTAATAATGTTTCATCAAGAGTTAAGCGAGAATTCAATCTCAATTATTTTCTTAAATACTATAGTTTTTGTTTCAATTTTGCAGCTTATTCCTTCTTCTCGCGGCTCTTGATTCATAATTACCATTAATTGATTACTAAAAACCTACCAGATTTCTAATGGTTTCCACTTTATATCTGCATTGAGCATTGGTTAAGAAATATCTTTCGACTAATAGTCGTTGATATTTTGTTATCTCTTGGTTTTCTAATTCATTTCAAATATTGTATCTTCCAAGCTGTCTGCATTCGTTTGCATGTTCAGTCACCAATCTGCATCGCCTTACTCTTGAAAGTCTCATAGTCCATATTTGCTCGTATAAGAACTATTTAAATTATATAAAACTATTTTAATCATAGAATGTCCTCAAAACTATGCTTCTAAATTGTGGCACACCCCAATTCTTCTTCGATTTCCGAATTTTGCGTGAATATCGAGAAAATACGTATTGAATATACCTCAAGAATCGAGTCATTAGTAAAATATATAAACAATAGTGGTCCAAGTATGAATTGCCGCCACCTAATCCTGAATTTCTAATATCTAATCAGTAAGACATTCATAACAAGTAACGCTTAAACCAGAAGTATGTAACTTCTCTGGATTATTGGCACACATAAAACTGTATTCTTTAAGCATTTAAAGTGAAGTAACACATTCAGCAGTTACTAATCCAGTTACAGTTTCTATTGACTTGCCTTGGAATTTGGATTTCATGAAACCAATATCCTGCATTCAAAAAACAAATTCAAATAGTTTTAAAAAAATTAGCAAGAAAGGAAAACTTTTTTCTGGTTGAGCTTATTTTCTTGAAGGGGATGTAGAAGAGATGAAGGGGAAGAAAGAATAACATTGAAAAATTTCAAAAACATAGTTCTCCTAGAGTATTAAAATATTTCAGGGAATTATATTGGAACAAATAAATGTTTCATAAAATATCACTGACTGTTAGATTTTCAGTTCACAGGCTTTCTTCTCTATCGGATCTGACGAAACATCCTATACGATATTTTGTTATGATAAATCATATCGAATTATAACGAAACTACTAATAGAACTTCTATTGTGGTCGTCATTCAATTTAATCTTATTCATTTACTAATGAAAAAATACATATCCTATTCAAACCATGAAGAATAGATAGTTGTGATTGATTAACAAGGGTTAGAAAAATTTGAAAAATAAATTTATCGCGATTTTTAGAAGATATAAGAGATTAAAAGAGATCACGTGATAACTCGTGACTTCAAAAGGACGATGATATCTGGGAATCCCTGGCTAAAAATTGGCAAGTCAATTTTGAAATGGATATACATCAAGTACCTAACGATCGTAAGCATTTGAAAATAAAAAAACATCTGTCAGTTCATGAGATAAAGGGAAATCTGTTATCTCATATAATCTGGCGATATAAATTTTTGAAATATTGTTTAAAATTTAGACAGTACAAAAAATCAGAATCTGACGGTACAGATTTCAAAAAATTTCCTTTCTGTAACATGATTTTATATTGTGTAATAGACAACGTGTGAATTTTGAAACTATTCGATGATTCGCACAATTATATTGCCTTCATGTTAATCACATATAAAACAAAAAGGAGAACAAATTCAAATTGTGATAATTAAAAAGGAAACCCAAAATCAATTAAATAAGGACTTCGATCTGAGAAAAAATTGAAAATTACTGATTGATTAATAAAAGAAAATAATATATCCAGAGTTTTTGTTTTAATTTGATAATGAATGCACGACGTTTCGGTCAGTTGGGTATCTCTGATTGTTTTCGAATGAATACTTGATAAACAAAAAACGTTTTCAAACGTATTTATATAACCGATACAAATTGAAACTAAAATAAGATGGAAATGTTCCTTCAAAGAATACTGTTATTTAAATATATTTAAATTCAATATTGTTATTTAAATAGTTTTCAATTAGGTACTTTTCAGATTAACCTTCATATTCAATTCATAAATGTTTCATGTTTACATTGTTATTTTTTAAATTTTCACTTCTAGTGAAAATAGAGTTTTCCAATATCAATCAGTTTTATTTCTCGAAATCACATGAAGATGCATTATCGGAAACCTTCAGATATTTGTGGAACTGTGTTTGCTTTACTCGATTTTGTTGAATCTAGCTCTAAAATTTCTAATTATACGACCTATTTCACATAATCTCTGCTGTTTTCATACTTCGAATTCGTTTATATACAAATTAAATACTACTTTCTGTATTATAGTTTCGATAGAAAAGAATGGTTAAGCTTACATCTGCACCTCTGCTCCAATTTTTTTTAATCACGTTTGGTTTTCCATATTGAAAAATACTTGGAACTCTCATCTAATGTCAAAATAGATTGAGAATAAGTAGGGTCTTATTATTAGGGTCATAATAAATGTCCACGTAAATTTATCAATGTTTGACTGCTTGCCTATCGAATAAAATCGATTATAGTACAAAAGAGTACAAAATAATCCCAACATACCTATTATAGGTTTTAGGGATTGAAATTTCTCAGATCTATTTTAGAAAACACATAGTTATATTGCATTACGATTAAAATGAGTTCGTGAGTTTTTATTGTCACATGAATCTTTCACGAGGAGTTCAATTCTGCATTGAACTGAATTACAGCCAAATTGTTGATTTTTCTGTATTAGAAATGTTTAACAATATTCTTCGGTAGTGACTAGTAAGTAAACAAAATTTAGATAATTAGCAATATAGTCACCATGTCACACCATTATATGTATTTTGCTATTTATATATGAATTCTTTATTGTGACTTGAGTTTACTCATGGACAGAGTAATCACGTAACCGTATATAGTTGAAAATGGTTGGTGAATCATTTCTATTTTTGGATTTGATTTGTTTGCGTGCGTTTTCAGGTCTCTAAATATTGAAAATTTTTTCATTGCAACTTCTGAATTAATTCACATGTAACAAAAGAACGAATGCAAATCGTTGATGCATATCGTTACTCATTTAATATATGTTTACTAACATGTTAGAGTAGTTAATTTATTAGTTGACTTATTAGTTGAAATGTTTATTGAATGATTATTATCAATTATTCTCCTGAAAGAAAATTGATATGATAATGTCATGCTTTTCAGGTTTTAAGTAATTCATAGCTAACCTACAGTTTAACGCCGGTTCCAAACGGACAATGGGCTTGTTTGTAATCATGTACATTACTTAAATCATAGACAAACAACACATACACCCATGTCTTCATTGGGGCTCGAACCCGAATCCTACCGCACCAAATTCGGGTGTTCTCCCATCTAAACCACGGAGACCGGCAATAGTCATAGCTGCATGTTGACATAAACAACATCATTAGGATTTCAGTTAAATCGCTATACATATTTCGAAATATATTTCTTTAGTGGTCTCCCACACATGATCTCGCACATCTTGAAGTTTTTTTAAATTTTATCGAGTTTAAGGTTTCTTGTGGAGCTAGAAGAAAAGTTAAAGTGGAACTGGAAAAGGTGATATTACGATGGAAATTTCGTAGCCAAGTTTTGATGAAGTAATACTATAATATACAGTTAGAATATGTTTTTCAGAATATGTTTTTCGAGTTTGTAGATGTTGTGAGGTCTACAGTCGATATCTTTCTAGCAATGTTTGTGCTAATGATGAATGAATATTTCAATGTTCTTGAATTCCTGTTTCATACCTCGAAGTCTTTCGCATTGTTGATTCATCTTGATGACGTGTTATCTAGTTCAAGCAAAGAACGAGATTAGAAATATTTCCAATCCGGATACTTCCTCGATAATCAATTTGTTTCAAAGAAGTATAAATATTCTTGTGACATATTCAATTACTACAAATATCTCCTTGATAACATTCCTACATACATTATTGTCTACGGAGGAAAAAGGATGTTGGACGACTTGTGAAAAATTGTACAATTCAATTAATATCGACCATTATGCGGTAGATGAATTATGTTCGAAAATAATTAATGCTTGTGTGAGATGACGAGAAATGTCAAGGTGTGTTAATTCTGGATCTTACACAACGTTGCAAAATGTGACATTCGAAATGGTTCACTGAGATGAAGCATTTGCTTATCTTATTTCTTAGAAGCATAGCTTCTCAGAAATTATACGTTTATTACAAAGCAAATATGTGTACACAGTTGAAATTTTTCATTGCAAACTCATTAAAGAATTGCAGGAAGCATTAGATCACAAAATTTCAGTATAATTCAAGATAGTTCTAGTTATTCAAATTCGTTTTTATACCATTGTTTATCATTTTCATTGTCATTCAATAATAATTGTTTGAAATTAATTGAATATTTTAATAATTGTTGGAATTATTAGTACATAATTTTAGTAAAATTCAAAATTTAAAATTCTCATATTCTCCACATTGTTCGAAAATTTCACAAAATTTTCTCCACATTGGTGGAAATTTCATATCTAGCAATGATATGAAGCTAAATTGTAATGCTACATTCAAATGATTTATGATTTCAATTAATCGTGAAATGAAATGAAGAAGTAACGATTTGCAATACAAGTTTGTTTTTTAATCAATTATTTCCCTAATTTGAAATATAAACATTCATAGTGAATTTTTTATAATAGATTTCACTTGAATTTCATTCATTGAAGATGTTAAATGGCAACATATTTTCAATTCTTACATAGAAATTTTTTCGTTAATATGTTTAAATATTATATAAAACAATGATAAATGACATAAACATATTTTCAAAGTCATAAGGTTACTGAAAATACCAAATATTTCTCTGTCAAAATATTAAATTTTCTGAGGGTCTTTTATAACTTAAATTAAGATATTTAATTTAAAACAAGTAGAAATAATATTTTGCTGACGTAAATCTTAAGGGTGAAAAATCTGAAAAACTGTGATTGTGCAAAAAGTGCTATAATACCATTTAAACTGTTGGATATTGAAAAATGAAATTATGATTGAAAATAGTATCATTCAGAATATCTGAAAAATTCGGAAATATGTGGAGTAATGTAGAGTACAGAATACTTTTCAGTTGAATAAGCTTTTTATATAATATTTTATGAATTTGTTGATTTTTTTTTCAATATGTGTATATATTTATGTCTGCGATGAAGAACTTTATAACGGAGATTAAGGAAAAATAACAGTTTTATCCCTCTTTACAAAACATCGGTATGAATTTATTGGAAGAATTGTCATTCAGAGTCAATTTTTCCACTGCTGGTCTCCGTAGCTTAGTCGGTAGAACACCCGACTATGGTGCGGTATAGCTCGGGTTCGAGCCCCGCTGAAGGAATGGGTGTTTGAGTTTGTCTATGATTTAGGTAGTTTAATTAATGATATATGCTGGGTAATGTACATCGATTACAAGCCCAATGGCCGTTCGGAACCGGCGTTAAATTGTAGGTCCACTGAATTAAAAAAAAATTATTTCCATCATCCGCTGTCAATTTCATATATTGAAACAATTTTCTATGTCAGCAGTTCTTGAAAATTCGTTCGTACAACTGAGTCGATGGAACGTTGTTCAATTGTTCAATTGATTGCTGTTTCTATGTACGTTGTCACCGCTGTTGTCTTCCAGAATATGTTTATTAGGTTCCGTTTCGCAGTTACGTTTTTCTTTCAATTCTAATATTTTCAAGGCCATGGGGAGTTCATGTTAGGTATAAAAGAATGTCGAGACCAATTGAAGTAATTTTTACACTTTCTATCAATGGAGATTCGACAGGGGAATATTTAATTCCTAGTATTTTCCATATAAAAATGATTGGGAAATACTAATACCTTTCTGATTGTACGTTAATGTTTACGCGTTTGCTTCTGTTGGAAGATGGATGTGTTACATAATTCAATTGAATATCCTTGAAATTCCCAGAAGAATACTCTCAAACGAATCAGCAGTATGACATCAACTTATATTCTATAAAGTGATCGATAATGTAGAAAACCCATCTTCATTATTAGTGGTTAATCCGCCAATTTGTCATGGGTGATCTAATCTGAAATTCACTAATCCGTTTCGTAATATAATGAGTTTTGCGGTTATCGTTTTTTCTTTACTACAAAATCAGTGACTTTTCAAATTTTATGTCGGGAATTCACAGATATTTTAAGGGTTCAATTACTAATATGGTTAAAAATAGATTTATAAGGAGCAAGTTCCGTTATTAAAATTGTAATCGAAATATTCAGAAAACCGCTTTAGGGTAATTCAAAATTTCAGGTGATAGATGAATTTCTAATATTTTAATGAGTGCCGAATATGAATACAATAAGATTTTTGAAGTATTTTGATAGTTAGATTCACTATCAACAGATGATTATTTCATCCGTTTAATATTGGATATGACGAAGTTCAGCGAAATTGTAATTTAAAAATTTATCTCGATTTGAGAATTTTTCAAGATCATTTCTTTATCAAAAGTTATCTGAATAATATCAGAAGAGATTATCAAATTTGGAGTATGCATTTAATTTGATATGTAATAAAAGTGATTTGCATTGAAATATTTTTATATCTTCTAAAAATGCCATATGAAATCAAATAAATTCGAGAATATTTTCCGAATGATGGGGGAAGTGTAATGAAAAATAAAGGAAATTTTGACTTTCAAAAAAATCAGGTAATAACTTTCCTTTAAAGGAAAAATCAGGTAATAACTTTCTTTATCACAGAAAATCTCAACCCAAAAATGATGAACAAATAGTTTTACATATCAGCCAGCTAAGAGAATTATTTTTTCAAGGTTGTGAGGATTTTTTACTAACAAAATTTTGGGGTAAACTCTCTTGGGGTAAATTTGTCTTTATTTCATAATCTGCATGAGATACCAGGAAGAGTACGTGCTTAAAGTCATGGTATAGGATGCCGGAGGCAAATTGACTCATTCAAGGAATATACATGCTAGAAATATCACATTTCTGGTTTTTCTGCTGATATAAAATTTCGACACGATATACTGAAAGTTTTTACTCTACACCGTTTTCGAATTACCGTCAGTTTATCTATATGTATACACACATACACACACACACACATATATATATATATATATATATATATATATATATATATATATATATATATATATATATATATAATATAACCTAGTCAATACTGAATTTCCCAGGGAGCTGTCTCACGAATGTTGTCAACGAGAAGGAACCTATCACTTTCGAGATTGAATATTTAATGACTTTCGAAAATTCATCGAACTTTTTGAATGAAATATCATACAATTGTTTCATACTTATTAGGAATCATCCGTGGATATTTATTCAATCAATCAAGAATCGACGACTCTCAAAAGCTCCCAGGTCCTATCTTCAGAATGAGGAAAACATTAGTTAGTGAACTAAAAACGTGAGCTCCTCCATCGAAGAAATGCGTATAAACTCTCTAGCATTCTAGATTCCTCTTTCTGACGACATTAGTGAGAGTACGTAGAGGCTGTGTGGACATTCAAACCCCTCAGAACTATGTCTGTAATATGTTGTCAGCAGTTTTTCCTGAATACGGAAACAATACTGAATTTAAATAGCAATTAGCTACGAAAAGAATGTGTTATTTTCAATGTTTAAAAGGCTCATTTCAGTTCTAATTGTAAGAGCATTCTGATGAATGATGGCTCTTCTTTCAGAAGCACTTGTGCTTGTGCGAAAATTGGACCTATTTGAATAATGGAAGAAAAATGAACGGTCCAAGAACTCGTTAGGAACCGAACTCACCGGCACCATCAAGCCGAAAACGTTATAGGGTCTCTATACCTTTCAGCTAGCCTCTGTGGTTCGTCCATTTGTTACAATTTCTCAGTGTTTTTCCCACAAAACAAAGCTATAATTATCATTTGAATATATATAGAATTTCTGTGGGTACATTCAAATTGGTGCTAAGCTTAGTTCGTGCATGATTTAGTGTTTCATTCGCACGCCAAAGTATATATTCTGCGGCACACGTGATAACCATCACGAAATCCCGAGCATTCTCATTCGTTATTACAACACAAAATTCGACTATCCGACGTGTTGTACACGAATCCGTTGCCTCGAGTAATTTCAACCTTCGAATGGAAAACAACTTTCCCGTATATCCGAAATTTCGTCATATTGCAATATCGATTTTTACGCGTTGCGCACAATGCCATCCCATTCATTGTTATTCGCAATCGTTATTTCATACATTGTCTTAGAAATGTTGCGTCACTTCTACTATTCCTTGCAGATCTGCTGTCACTCTAATCATCTGCGCGTCAATTTTGCAAATCTTGGCGAATTGTTATGTCATTGTTTTCTCATA